TGTCTATAATGTATTTCATTTTATTTTATTTTTTTATTTTTTTTATAATATAATAAAAAAAATTATAACACATATTTACAGCAAGTGTGGTGTTTTGGTTCTAATGAGGTGGGATGAATGGAGCTAAGCAGGAGTAACGTCGTGTACTTAATAAAAGTAGAATTTAAGCTAAATCTCAAGTTAGATCGATTCAAGATAGTTTCGCATCATATTGAGCATTTTTAAATTGTGATAGGGGTTAGAGGATTGAACAGTTGAAAAAGGTGAAGGCCATAGCAACATCTCCCGACCCCCCTGACCCATGTATGCTTATAAGATATCACATAGATGTTGTAGCACTCAACATAGATATCGGGTTAGGCACGGACACAATGCTTATAAGATACGACTATACATGCTAATCTATTATTTTCTTTAATATTATTAAAGATAATTAATCCAAACATAATTTAAAACACTAAGAAATATGATTATTTTTTAATCATTGTAAAATGTTAATTAAGCACTTTGGACAACTTAGTCCTTTTGTGTCTGACTGACATGAACCCAACCCAGCTTTGCGTTTCTTACTTTACCTTCTCCATCTTCGGAAAAGCTGAGTTTGAGGCTTCGAGATGAGGGGTAAAAAGGGAAGAAGAGGGAAAAAAAAGGGGGTAGTTTAGTAATTCTGTATAAAAATTGACCTACCCGCCAATGGCATCCTCCCTCCTCTTTCAGATTCATGAACATGGCGAAGGAAGAAAAGATTATGATGAAAAAGCAAGGGAGGAGGGAGGGGGTGCCCTACAAAATAAGGTACTTCACAAGCAACAGAACCAGCCCAGCCCCTCAATTTGATCCGATCGTCTTCCATTGCAGGGCTGGATCGAGCCCTCAAAGCAAAATACCGTCTCTGTCTCTGTCTCTCTCTCTCTAGAACCCTAGAAGTTTCTCTCGTTGCAGAAAAGGGGGAAGAGAGAGAGAGACTTCGCGCCCCATCGAGGAGAGGGAAGAGTCTGCGCCACCCAAATTGTGTGTCGCTCTGTCGTTGGCATCCACGGCCATTGAATGGCCCAGGTGGACCAGAATTTATGTAGAAGGAAAAACAAAAAAGGGAAGAAAGAGTTGGAAAGAAAAGAAAGGAAAGGAAAGGAAAGGAAAGCGAAGATGATGGATATCGAGATGTCTTCTAATGTCCTCCAACCAAACCCACCTCTCACAAACATCTTCATCACTGTCTCTGAAAACAACAATATTTTGCACCGAGTTATGTGGCCTTTTTTGGGTTTTAGTTGGCTCGGTCAGAGCTTCACAGAGAAAACAGGAAACCAGGAAGCTTCACCCACCCCCCACCCCTTCCTTCTCTTCCTTCCCAATTCCCCCATCAATTCCCATCCATTTCTCCTTTCACTTTCTTCTTTCTCCTTCTCTCCCTCTTTCTCTTCCCATCTAACTTTTTGGTTCTTTCCCCTTCTGGGTTCTTAATTTCCTTCCTTCCTTCCCATCTATGAAGAAGATGAAAGGGGCTGCTGCTCTCTTCCAATACCCTGTGTATGAGGATCCCAAGGCCAGATTCAAGCATCAGGGTCTCCTCCATGATTATCAGGTCTTGGAGAAGGTAATTTTCTTTTGCAGCTTCTACGGATTTGGGGTTTGTTTTTCTCTCGTGATTCTATCAGATCTGGCTTTCTTTTGATGATGTTTGAATATTTTCTTCAGATCTTCTCATATATTGATTGCATGTGAGATTTGGGTTGTTTCTTTTTTCATAGAATTTCGGGTTTGGAAGAGGAAAAGATGGTTTTGATCTATTAGCTCTCAATCATGGAAACTTGATTTTTCCCCCCCTCTCTTTCGTTGGGCTAACCTAATTCTTCCGAGTTCTGAACTGGCTATTTTCTTGGGTTAAGTTTTAGCCCTCTACTTCTGATTGTTCAAACAATGATATAAGAACAAAGATTTATGGATTGTTTGTTGAAATTTGAAATACCCATCTTACATCATCCTTCTCCCCCCCCCCCCCCCCCCCCCCCCCCCCCCCCCCCCCCCCCCCCCCCCCCCCCCCCCCCCCCCCCCCCCCCCCCCCCCCCCCCCCCCCCCCCCCCCCCCCCCCCCCCCCCCCCCCCCCCCCCCCCCCCCCCCCCCCCCCCCCCCCCNCCCCCCCACCCCAAGTTCTGAGTTTGTGACATAGAGATCGGTTTAAGACTCAGGAATGTTATGGATGAACAAACAGTTGAAAGTTTTTGTTTTCCTTCCAGGAAACAGGAACTGTCAAGAACAAATTGCAGATGATGAAGCAAAAGAAGATGACCCTGATTGCAGAAGTCCGGTATAATCTTTACATTATTACATTGTATTTGTGCTGATCTTCATCAGGAATTAGTGAATTGTTTAGGCCTAACTATGAGTCTACGTTTATATTGAAGATTCTTGAGGAAGAGATATGAGTACTTAATGAATAACCAATTATCAACAAACGACCATCATTCAAATGGAGATCTAATGCAGCAGAAGGAATTTCATAATCAAGTGGCTAACGATAATAAGAAGGGGAAGAGTGCTGCAAGAAGAAGACCTGCTTTGCAACCTGTCATGGCTATCTCTGATATAAACCAAAAGGAAAGAATTGACAAAGGATTCAGTATTCCTCTCCAGAATTCTACTCCAATTCCTGTTCTTGACTTAAACCAGAAGGCAAAGACTTCTTCTAGGAAGAAAGCCAATCAACAGAGTTCGACGCCCGTTTTCGACTTGAACCAGAAGGAAAGAATGTACAGTGAGAGAGACATCACTCCATTTTTTGACTTGAACCAAATTTCGGTAATTGTCTAAGGGGACTTATTTGGCTACTAATGGAATTATTACTACAATCTTATCCACCTCCTCTCCCTAACTATTGTTCCTTTGGTTCAGATAGAGGAAGAGGAATTGCAGACTCGTTACGAGCCATTGAGTGTGGTTGAGTTGAAGAAAAGCCTTCTTCAAGGAGGGAACGACGAGCAGCAAAACAATATCAAGATTTTGGCGTGCAGGGGCATTGGAGATGGTCCAAGTCGAGCTGGTAAGAGGAAGATTTCATGGCAAGACCAGGTTGCTCTAAGGGTTTGAGCTCATTTCTATATCTAGTGTCACTTAGAACTCTACTATTTGTACATGTATTAACATTTCAAAAAAGAATGATGATGAAGAATCGAAGTGGCAATCCTTCAATCCATTGTCTAGTTCTTTTGTAGAGAAGTAAAGCATGGCCTGGAATGCTATCAGAATTCTTAATGGCTGTTGGCTAAGCTTAAGCCTCAAACTTTTCTTCTCTAGTTGGCTAAGCTCTGATTCTTTCTACATGGAACCAAATTGTCTTCTGTATATGAAGAAAATTTCTATCCGTTCGACGAGGAAATTTACGCTAAGATCATTGATTAAACCTTTAAAGCTTGCTAAACAGATTAGAAAGAACAAGGTTCTGGTCTACGAAGAAGAAAATGCGGATAATCAAGCGGTATGAAGCTTCAAAGTCATGTTATCGAATACTAACATTGGCCATAGACAAGGTCCAAACCATTACAGATTATAACACTGGACTGCTCTGCTGCTACAACAGAGCCAACACTTACAAACCTGTAAGAAGAACACATAAACTAAAGAAGCCACATGAAACTTCCCACAGCAACGAAGAAGTTGATTTGATCCGTAAAGGGTTAGCATCATTCTTCGAGTGCCCCCTATGAATGTCATTCCCCCCGCCATAAACTCCTCTTGCCCTCATAACCCTCGTTGCAGCTCCAACGTTTATCTGTTCACTGGCCTGCAAATCTGCAGATGCAGCAACACAAGAAAGCAGTTCTTACACTGTTTTTCAAGTGCAAGATTCAAAAGACTGTTAGATTTGTTACCTTTTCTGGGCCTCCCCTGCTTCAGGTGCTTGTAAGGATCATAAGCTTTGTTGGTGAAATAGGCTTCAGATAGACAAAATGGAAGGAGACAGAGGCAAAGAAGGGAGATGAGGAGCAAAAGGAATGGTCCTTTCCTCATGTTTGATTGATTTTTGGTGTTCAAATCCAATCTAACGAGCAATGGAGGGGGGCATGCATGTTTTTAACCACTAAAAAGAAACAATAGTGCCCCCCTATAAAGGTGTATAGCTCACAGGCAGACATATTTGGATAAGAATATATACTCAAATCATCTTTTTCTTTTCTTTTCTTTCACAAAAGAATTCAAAACTTACCTCTTAAAAGATTGAATGTGTGGCTTAACATGAAGTTCCGTTTGTAATTTCTTCTTGCATTGTTCTTAAATTCTAGGAATATTGTATCACTAACATGATATTCATAGAATATAACATTTGTTTGATTTATTTTGAAATAAGAAATCAACTCATCACCAAGAAATAAAAACTTGAATTTTGATGTATTAACTACGAAGAAAAGAATATTCACATAATAGTGGTGCAAAATAAAAGATGTGTAGACAGAATGTAAAGGAAACTTAAGTGGAGAGATAATGAAGATGGAAAGAATTATATGATAGAAAGTGTCTTTGTATGGTTACCAAAGAAAGCCTAGTCAGAAAGATTCATAAGAATTAGTGCTACCTGCATTGATTATGATTCAACGCCCCTTAGCTGATTGTCAACTTGTCGTAGAGGCTTTTTGGTGCTCAAAGACATGTCCTCGATGAGCCTCAAGGGCTGTACCCTGTATTGTACAGTAATCTTCACCATGCGCCCTCTTGATGGATGAGTTTCAAGGGCTGCATTGTACCATAATCTTCACCCGGTGCTTTCTTGATGGATGAGTCTCGAGGACTGCATTGTACCGTAATTCTCATCTAACGCCCTTTTTATATACGAGTCGTCTCAAGGGCTGCATCTTTACTCAACATCTTTTTTATGGATGAGCCCCAAGGCAAAATCATAAAGCACAATCTTCATCCAGCGACAGGCAAAATCCTTTAGACGACATAAATCCGTGACAAAATAAGTGGCCATGATGCCACTATCCACTTAGTGTCCACCTTGTTAAAACTGAAAAAGAAGAAAAAAGAAAAAATTAATTACTTGTTTAATATGATTCCGAAGCGATAGGGTTCTTGAAGAGAAAGGGGGAAAAAGAATAAAGTGCGATGAATTAAAGAAGAAAAGACGGCAAATCTTCTTTTGCAAAATTCAGGTAAGACAAAAGCTATAATTCCTTACCTTCTTCAGTTGCCCTAATTCTGTTCCATTTCTTTCATCTGCAACAGAAGCCATTAGACAAAAACAAAATGAAGGAACATTCCCAATCATCTCATCTCATCTCAAATTCGAATAAACAGAAGGTTACGATGAGATAATCGCGAAGAAAATGTTCGGAAGGAATAAAACCTTGGGAATGCCGGAAGCGCGTTGCCGGTCGCGTCTACGGCGTTTTTTAATCGAAACGCGATGAGATCTCAAGCGACGGAGGGCGATTTTATTGGCGAGTTCATCGACATCACGAGGGGGAAGCGCATTGCTACTGTGTTTAGCCTCTTTGATTGCGAGGCAGAGGAAGTTGTGCCACTGAGAAAGAGAGGCGTCCATTGGTTGTTTCGTTGGGGAAGATTGGAAGTGCCTTTATCTGTGTGATCGAACATGGAGTTAGGTTGAGAGGCGAGGCGAAGGGGCGCCATTAGCAGTAGAGTTTGGTGATGTTGAAGACCCACCATGGGGATTCTTTGCAGGAATGGGGACTCCATTGAAGGAAGAAAAAACAGAAACGAGGCTAATGTTAGAAGGGTTCGTAGGACGAATCATTCATAGCCATAAAACAACGAAAATCAAAGAACGACATTCGGCCGCACGACGATCTACTGGAAACCATCTGTAAACCTTCTTTTGATACTGATCTTCATGGCCGGAGAGGATCCGGTGTCTTTATCCGCCCACCGATGCTCCGATGTATGACGGATATTCCGGCGGAGTACTCCGGTGAAAGAACTCGAATCATCGCCATGATAAGCCAGACGAGATGGTGAGAGAGAAATTAGGGCTAATGGAACATGGAAAATCGAATTCGAGCATCCGAGATTGGAGGTATAATGTGTAATCGCATAGATTTTATATAGTTTTAGACTATAATGAAGATGAAGTTCAGATTTTCGTTCTAATTTTGCCGCGTTTTAAAAATTGAAGTCGTCGGAATTTTCCTTTCAGAAACATTTTCCCGGAAAATCAAGATTTTCTTAGATCTTGTAAGTTTCGTTGAGTTCTTCTGAAATTGAACGTCTTCATAGTAGTTGGTGAGATCCGTGTATTTTGTTTGTTAGGATCTGTTTTTTTAGGTTCAACTATAAATTAATCTTTAAAAAATATAAAACTTTAAAAATATAAGAACAAGATAGACATAAATTTCAAAGTTTAAAGAATAAACTTAAAATAATTTTTATTTTTAGTCCATACATTTTCAAATGCTTATTTTTAATTTTTGGTTGTAGGGCCTATTATTTTAATGTTAATTTTTAAATTAAAATATGGTGAAGCAATAAATGATAAAAGTACATTCCAAGGCATTGTCGTCAAATAAGAAAAAGTGCACCATCACATCACATCACATCACATCACATCACACATGTACTTCTCATGGGGGGGGGGGGGNGGGGGGGGGGGGGGGGGGGGGGGGAAGAAGGCAAAACCAAGTAGTTTATCATTAACTAGCCCAAATTAACAGCCAACAAGTCCCAAAGAAACAATAAAATAAAAAATAACATGATTTAACATTTTTTTTTGTTATAGAAAAAACATATTCAGAAAGAAAAAGAAAAAGAAAAGGAAGACAGGATCCATTGAAGGGAACGCTCTTTTAGAGTTATTCAGCCATATGATTTAGCCATGCTTGGAGAGCAAAATCCATGGCATTGCGGGGGTTCATTTTTCACTCTCAATAGACATGCTACAGACTCCGAGAAAACAATATACAACTCAATTAAAATTACCTGTTCTTTTTGTAGCCACCATATCAGATAATGAAATACATGTTGTATGTCACATGAGGAAGGCAAGTGGAGCGGGGAGCGCCGCGTCAAAACTAAGGACGAGATGTTTCATTTGATGTTTGTAACTAGAAAGCTTGAAGCAGTAAGATTCACCTTAATATGCCAGACTTCGACAGCCTTCGATATCGGATGCCAACGAGTCCAATAATCCTTGTCCAGACACATTAGAACTAATCGTCTTCAAAACAGCATCAAATATATCTTTCCTAAACCTGTCGTCTTCCACCTTCTTAATGGCCTCTTTCACCACCTGAAAATCCAAACCGCCAGATATAACAAGTTTACCAATTATCTCACCAAAATTGATGGGTGCTTTTGGTAAATCAATGCCTGCGTCGTCGAGCATGGAAGCATAAAGCAAGCATCCAGTCCCAACGTCACTAGCTGTAAAAACCTTCCTGGAGAGTAAATAGTCCAGAAACTTTACAACTGCTTCAACACATGGTGGGCTTTTCTCTAGGGCCAAGGAAATGGCTTCTTTTACAACCTCAGGGTGGTAAGTTGGTGTCATGAGTTCTTCCACACACTGTAAAGCTTCATCCAAAATCCGGATACTGAAATATTCTTCAAGAAGAGAGTGAGTTTTCTTTCTGAGGTCATCTTGTTTTAAAGATGCAGCTGGAATCTGTGGTCGCTCTGCAGGTGGAGGAACTGTTGCTGCGGCAATAGGTTTATGAACCTGACCAGAGGGCTCTAACCCATGACCAAAGTTAACAGGACGAGTAGTAGTTGCACCTGCACCCTGCAATAGAGCACTATTCTTATTACTAATAAGCCCACCAGTACCCTGGGGAAGTAGCCTTGCATTCAACGCTGATCCTTTGCCAGCGAACGATGCTGAGCCACGCCCAGATCCATCTGCCCCCCTTGGTATAGGTCGGGTCCTATGTACCTCCCAATTGTCATTATCCATGCCTGGCATACCAGGCATCTTCCTAGTTCCTGGCATGCCAGGCATCATACCCCCAAAACCAGGTCGATTGATAGGAAAGCCCCCAGGGCTGGTGTTCCCAGGAGAACCAGACACAACGCCACGATTATTTCTCATATTAACAGTAGCACCAGGACGTAGTCCCAGATTTTTTTCTGCCTCTGTATGTATTTCAGTAATAGTTTTGGCTTTAACCTGTAGGAAGAAAAGGTTGAAGGCATTAGAACAAAAATCCAAAAATTTGTTGGACCAACCAATGAAAGAGAGAGAGAGAGAGAGAGAGAGAGAGAACAAGGGTCTACCTCTTCACGCCTAGGAACCCAATTGTTGGCACGCAATTCAAGAACATCACGAACCATGAACTTCAGTCGTGGGGCCAACTGAGTGTGTGTGGTCAGTTCTTTCAGTCGGCCAAAGTACATGTCATTTATACGTCGTGACTTAGTGTTCTCGTCTAGCTGCTTACCTATGGTGTTAAAGAATTGACAGATGGCCTCAACATTTTCTTCTGCAGGACAAGATTTGTTATCTGGTCCTAAAAGTTCCTGAACACAACACAAGCTATCAGAAAAGGCAGCATTTTACAAAATTTAAAGGAAGGGTGAAACAATCAGCAATAATTCAGATGGACATCAAATAAAGACCTGCACGATGTGGTGGACGATTTTCTCAGGCACCATCTTTTGCTTCAGAAGCTCTCCAATTAATCGAATATTTCCAAGAGTACGAAGTTTCAAAAGTCTGTCTTTATCCCTGCGTTCGCTCTCTTGCTCAGGGGCAGTCATCTGCCTAAGCTCTTCCCTCAACTTGTCAGCACCTTCAAAAGCCTCCTGACAGATATTTAAGAGGACTCGTTTAAAAGTAACTTCTCTACCACCAGGTTCATCAGACGGAAATTGTGGCAGCTTCTGATTCAGATCGGAACATAATTGAGCATACATGGGGCAAAATGTGGGTTCAAGAACGGCCTTGTCAAAAATAAGTGAAATGACATCCTGCATTGCAAGCAAAGTGAGATGGGGGGAAAAAGTAGCATCATTCTTGAATCAAGCAAGTGGATGAAGATAACCTTCAAAATATCAGCGGAGGTGATTCCAGAGTCAATTAGCTGACCCTTAAGGAGATCGAACTTTTCTGGTGTTAGCTTGTTCAATATCCTGCATAACCAATGCACTTTTTCGTAAATACCACAATATTCAATAGTTAACAAAGGTTATGAGGCATTAGCCACAAAGGTCACCATCAACTTTGAGGCACGGCTTTTGGTATAGGGGATTAAGAGGCATATTTGAGGCATCCACCTCGATTAGAACATGCCAAAGCGTAGAGAAAAGGGATTGTCGGTTATCATTTCGATTTTAAGTGGCTGTTGAAGCTTTTAATTCTGTCTTGGAAGTGCACAAAGCCTCTCTGCCTCTTGTATATAGGTGATCCAAAAAATTTCTAGTACTATTCAAGTATATACTACTATTCAGCATCTGACGGGTCATTAGATGATGTTATTTTACTCTATGAGTGCACACAATTATTAAATGCTTCTTTAATGGTTAGCAACGAATATTAGTATGGAACCTTTCCTGCCGTAGTACTTAGAAATTTTCCCGTAGGTTACCCTTAACCTTCATGCATTAATGAAAGAATTTGAATTTGGCACTTAAATGAATGTCATGTATCTGTTTTGGCTATTATGCAGGTACTTAATCATCTGTTCATTTAATGAGGTGAGTTACTTTGATTCATTGGTTCGCATGGATGGTCTTTCCAAGAGGCTATATTATTTAGATTATGTTTTCAAGTGCAGTAAGGATGACCTAGAACATTTAAATGGGTCTGAAGTTTCCAAGAAGCCTCATTCATTGCTATGTGACCAAGGCATGCAAATTTAAAACAAGTTTCAGTGGATGAAGGAGATGAGGTTCTAAACAAGGCCTTCGTTAGCATATACATTGCAATATTGTTTCAGAAAATCTTCTTACGGATACGAAGACAGTCTTTGTTCTTTGATTGATGAGGGGCATTCTGGTCTGGAGGCCCCTCCCTGATCCAATTGATCCCTCCTAAACTATTGTTATGGATCAAAGAGCTTCTTTGGGCCTTCTAGGCCAAGTTCATCGTCCTTCGTTCATTCTCTTTTCAGTAAGGAAAATCTATTTCAATTTGGTTTGGAATCCTAGATTTCTTTCTAATGAGACTAAGCTTTAGATAGTTTTGGTTTTCTGAGAGTTTCTACTGGCAACTTGCTGTTTTAGTGCTTCTACTTCATTTTTATTACATTGAATTTCCTTTTGATGGCCTCATTGGTGGTCTTCCTGCTTTTGGTTATTGGCTCTTTAGTATGGTAGCTTTTCATTGACTGATCTTTTGGCGCTGTTGGTAGGCTTTGGTGTCTTGCTCCTTGTGGCTGTGGCTATTCTTGTGGAGCTGTCTTCTTTCATATTTTGGGGTCTTTGTGTGGTTGGGTCCTTTTGTTCTTGGAGAGCCTGTATTGCTCTTCTTTTCTTTTTCTTTTTTTTTGGCTTTTTATTTTCAGTTTGGCTGGGCGTTTGATTATTTTTCTCTCCCATTTGTGTCCTTGAGCATTTTATTTCCATTCTAAGTATTAGAATATATATATATATATATATATATTTCCTCTGAATATAATGGGTATTTGTATATAGTTGCAGTGTCGGTAATACACTGTTTTACATTATTGTGATTTCAATCCTCCTTTTATAAAATACTTTGTCTGCTTGCACTAAGCATTAATACTATTGACCAGGGCCTCGTGACTGAAAATGGCATAGAATGCTAATTGTGAAGGGATAGGGTGAGGAGTACAACAAAACTAAAATCCAATTCGAAATTATAAAAGGAGTGAAAAGGAGAAATTAGTAACTCATGTCATTAATATGTATTACCCCTTTACAGTCTTCAAGACACGATCCTTGTCAGAGAGAGTTCCTCTCCTGGCTGACCATGGTACCTCAGCTTTGATTAAAGCAGGGGGTCCTCCCTAAAATAAGTAAAGTGATGATAAATAATTAGACATAGGGCTTTAACAGCTACAATTTAGAAACAAATGAGCGTAAGTATAAGTGCCCTGCACAAGTCATTTTCCCCCCCACCACGAAATAAAATAATTTTGTTTTTCAGAATTATACATATATCTTGTCAGAGATTTTCTCGATAAACCGTGGAGCAACACATTTGTTCAAAGAACCTACAAGGATGTAAAGGAAAAGTCTAGATAAATTTAAACTAGAATATCAAAATTCCCAACTACATAGAAGCAGTTAGTTGAGCTAGCAACGTGTGAGAGTTAAATTACATACTTC